CTGTTGTTTTATCTTGAAGAGAACAATCTCTGAAAGAGCATGTTCGGACAGACATTAAATGAAAGTGATAGTGATTTGATCAGTATAGATTAAATCTGCATTATCTTACCTGTGAAGCTTTTGGCTGGATCAGTCTGCTCCTGCACTTATCTTATGGATCGTAAGATAGGTCTCCTTTAAGTGCAGGCCTTTAGCCACGCCTCTGCATTTGCTTAAAATGGTGCACGTTTAAGTAAATGGAGGGGAGCTCGAGCACCCTTTGTGAAATCGTTGGAGTGTAAATGTTTGGGAAGACTTTTTATCTAACATTTCTTACAGGGCTCAAAGTAAGATTAAGATATTTCTTTTCTTGTCGAAACAAGGCTATAGGTCAGTACCAGAAAATGTCAGCTTTGTAATGCTAAGTACAATACTTTATTCCACAAAATGCCTCTATTAACCTGCTCATCTCTACTTTTCTTCTATAGCTTGCTGTTGTCTCAACTGTTTCTGAATGTCTGTGTTTAATTTTTATTTTCTGTACCGACAGTTTTAAGCACTACAGATGGGCTATGTGAATGTATTCTGACTTGAGTCCCTTGGTGTCTTAATTTTTGCATTTTCTTTCTCACTGGCTCCAGCAGCATTGGTGTGCTCTGTAGGTCATTTCAGCTTCAAACTCCTTCTCTTTGTGCATTGCCTTTCTCTCCTGCGCTGTCCCTATGCTACAGCTCTGACCACTGCTGTGTGACTTGTATGACATCAGTGATTCTGCTCACCTTTTCCTCCTCTACTTTGACTGTCTGCGATTTATCTCTCTGCCTTGTGTCTCATGCGTTCATGCTTTCTCACTGCTCACGCCGAGGATGGAGGCCAGACTTCTTAATGTTTACTCAAATGTGTTTCATCAGTGGTGCCGTGCTAGATGAACAGAATGTAATCACATGCTGTATGTATTCATCAAATTATGACTTCCTCTTTTCTCGCTACCTATCTCCTTCTCTATCTCTCTGTGTCTTTGCTGCAGCACATTGCTTTATGAAAAGCTTTTGTTGAATGTCTTTTTCCCCCAGGCTGCCCCTCTTTTTATTTTTAAAATCGGACCACTATGGTGATTTGTCAACTTCAGGTGGAGAAATAGGCAATGATCTGGGCCTGTTTTGTCCGATGCAGCTGTAAGACCAACCCTCTTCCTCAAACCAAGCCCTCGCATCATCTCCAAAGGCCGGACGATGATGCGAATGGTTGGTTGGTGCCAAGGCTGTCCATAGTTGTGTTGCTCTGACCTGTCTCTCTCTTTGGCCACAGTGATCTAGACAGAGACTTTTGGAATAACAATGACAGCAGCACAGTGCAGCAGAGGTGGAGCTCCTATCCGCCAAAGGAGTTCGTACTAAACATTTCTCCCTATGCCCCATATGGAGATCCTCGCCTCACACTCAAGTGAGTCTTGGTCCAAGGTTGGTAAGAGACTTCCCTCTGAGCAGGGCTGTAACGAGGCAGGGGCAGTGCCACTCTCTCCTTTTCCTTTACCTTTATTCCCATTCCTCTTCTTCCCCTCCCTTCCCTTCGTTGCATTACTCTCCTCTCCCCTCCTCACACCATCCCCTTACTAGCTGTGCAGTCACCACCACTAGCCACTCAACTGAAATTGAACCATTGGATGAGGATGTTATGATGCCTGACAGCTTATTAAATCCACCTAGTTGTATAATCTTGATTATTTTCTATTCCTTAGGGCAAAATTTTCTCATACCTCTTTCTCTTTCCACGGATATTTAGCCAACAGCCTTTTAAAAAAAGTCCATTCTATAAATGTCATTGTGTTGCAATATACACAAACTGAACATTTCTAGACTTATTATTGCTCTATAATGCGATTTCCATCAACAATAGTAATAACAATAATAACCCACCCAGTGTTAGCACACTGGAGGGCAGAAATGGTTACTAATGATTACTCATAATCTGCTTGGGAAATGTGAATGTAGGAAATGTCATACACGCACACTTAAGCATGCCCGCGACCGCCATTCAGCTATTAGTGCAGCGGCAAAGCTGCACAGCCCTGTAACGTCCCCAGGCTAATTTCTGCCGCTACTCCTCACATCCTGTCACCTTTTAATGAACACAGAGGCGCATGTTCAGATGCCCCCCACTCCCTACAGCCCTGCCGGTCCCACTAACTTCTGACCTCTAACCTCTCACCTCTCTCCCATGGGGTGTATCCATGGAGACGGACAACCCTCGTAGCCTTTCTCTCCAAAAGACATGTGTATACTTTAACCCACCTTCTCTGTAATCTGTGTATCTCCCTGTCCTTTGCTTGTGTGAACTGGAATTGTTGCTGCTGCTGTTGTTGTTGTTGTTCTTGTGGAGGGTTGACCGTTAAACCAGGTGCCAGTGTTCACCTGTGGTTTACATCCATCTGTGGCTTCTCTCTGATCCCCATCAACCTAATATCTATTGTGTACTGCACTAACACTGTAGCACTCGAACTGTGTCTACTGTCTGTCGTTTTAGGAGATAAGGTAACAGCGTTTTTTTTACGTGATGAAATGAAAGTTATTTTTTCATTCACTTGAATCCAATAAAGTACTATCAAGGTCATACCTATCTCCCCCGGGCACCGAGAGGACTTTAAGCTTAGACATCCAGCTACCAGGCATCTGTCTGATAAACTGTCTAATAACTGGTCATCTTTAATAGACCTAGCTGTTGAGGACTGTGTGTTAAATTGCCTGGAGAAAGGAGGCAGCAGTGTGCTTATGAACGCGGTGGATATATGGATTACTGTCTGAAAACTCTGCCTGAAGATGATGGCTGCTGATCTCAGGAAACCAGCTTTAGACCCTAGTGCTTGCGTTTTGAGAAGTTCATTTTTTAAAAAAACCCTCAAGGTTGTCATTTATTGTCCATAATGCTGTTTTTCAGCAGGTCCTGTCGCCATATGTTTTCTTCTGTCCAGCGGTAGAAAAACAGATGCACTTTTCACTCCAGTAATGGTAAAATAAGAGGTTTGTCAGTAGTGTGTGAGTCCAACCAGTAATATGTCGCTAAAGTCAACAGACAGCAGGGAAATCATTTCCTGTTTGAGATTCTCTCGAGATCAGCAGCTTTCATTCTCTGTAATGACACTGGGCCTCATTTATCAAACAGGCTACCTACCCTGCACGATCAATCTCCATGTTTAAGGATTTATTGGATCAGAGGTTCAATACTATCATTTTTCTATATTGAACCTGTTATATATTTGATGTCAGCAACAGTCACGACACAATCTTGACAAAATGCTCGTGGTGAATTGACATGAACCATTTTTCTAATTTAGGCTTCAAGTTCAGTGAATTATATTTACTGTATATTGTACTTTATTTGATCAATCGGATAGCTTTGAGATGAAAAGCTGTGAAAGATTATGTGGCTATATTTCTTTTTTAAATCACGTCTCCTGTCAGTGAAGTTCAGTCAGAAACAGGATTGATATCTGAATGCTATATTCCTGTAAATACTTGTGGTGATTTATGGTCCCATTTAAGTGTGTTCCTACTTTTAATAAAGACTAAAAACGTTCACCTTGTGCCTGGCTCGATAAATGAGGTCCATGTCTCCTGTGTTGACTGTTGCAGTGTCATCCATGCTGTTGCTGTGATTGATGACTTATCCACATGCACTGTCAGGTCAATTGGTCAGAATTAAATGTGAAAGTTGACCTTCAAAGGGACATGATGTAAGTGTAGTAACCCCCCCTCCGATCCCACACATACATACCAGACGACAACGGATTTGGTACCTCCTATTTTGTGTCTCACGGAGCAGGAGCACCATGCATATTAATGGATTGTAGTCATGTCACCAGAGGGCACTACTGTGCTTTATTTTTGATCATGACTGCTTTCAGAGTAGACATGACATTTTAAACCTAAAACCAGTTGTGAGAGGAAGCATGAGTTGACAACTGCTCTTAAGTATGAACACTGATTAATTTCTGTGCCTTGTACTTTTTTTGGAGGGTCAATATGAAATAGATTGCCCTTATGATTCTTTTTTGGTGCCAGTCTTTCACTACTTCCTGTTTACTGCTATTGATGCTAAGTGGTGATCAAATGACATGTAAATCTTTAAAAAATGAAATAGTACACATTAATATCTAAAAACTAGAGTGTAATCGAGGTTTTACAAACAAATACGAACAATGAACAAACGAACAAATGCACTTGTATTTAACTGAATGTCACTTTGGATGACTTCCCAAATTAGTCGATTATTTGCTCATGAGGCACTTCAGTACAAGCTGTCCTCCTGTTGCTCTAAGGTGCTGCCATTGAATTGCCTTGTGTAGTAGCATCTCTGCCCCAAATGCCTAAATGAATGAAAGAATGAGAACTAAATAACCAGCGTCCACACACTCTTGCCACTAGTGAATGCTGGCAGCTGTAGTATTGGTCCTCCAGGCCCAAAGGAGTGACTTCTTGCTGGTTTTCCACCCTCCACAGGCTCCTTGTAAATCCTTCTCCCTCTTCTACCTCTTCATCCTGCTCTCCCCATCCCTCTCTACCTCCACACTGGACTCCAGACCTTTTTATTCAACTGCCTCTCACTTGGCCTGGAAAACTAAACCTGCCCCCTCTCACACTCTACTGATCTGTCTCCCTTTCTTAGCCATGTGGTTGCTCAATCTATTTTCCTGTGTGTGTGTGTGTGTGTGTGTGTGAGAGAGAGAGAGAGAGAGTTTGTGCCTGTCTTTCTCACACTCTCTGGTCTTTTTCTCCTGTGCCTGTCGTTATCTCCCTCTTCTATACCCCCTGTCTGTTGTGGGACCTCCGCACCCTGTATCTGTCTCTTAGTGGGGCAGTGTCAGGGGGTCAGAAGGGGGCAGCAACTGGGCATGGGGATGATGGGGGGGGTCCTTATCGCAGTGACAGCGTGAAGAGCATGGTGACAGAGGGAGTGAAGGCCGGGAGGTGGCAGACTGTCCAGGGCCACATGCAGTCCGGAGGATTGAGACCCAGCGAGTGAGTTCAGAACCGGGCAGAAAACATTTCCCGCCACTGTGCAGCAAAATAAACATGTTATTATTATGCAAATGTTATTCTTCTTAGTTTTTACCTCAGCAGCAGCTATGATTAGATGAATGAATCCGTTCTGAGTAGAAACAAGGAGAGTCAGGTCAAGTTCAGCAGGGAGGAAGTGCAGCTCAGGTGTCAAGGTGAGCGCGCGGGCACAGATCAAGGTGTGAGCACTGGGGAAATGTGAAGTCTCGTCATCGTGAGAAGATAACAATAGTTACTCGAGCTGTATCACACTGACTAAAACCTTCAGCAGACACAATCTGCCCAGCTGCTCCTGTATAAATCTGCAGGAGAGTATGATTTATTTATGTGAGGCACTGCACTGCCTGCAAGTGTACTTTTAAAATTGCAAAACAGAAAAAGTCTCATTTTCACACACTGACTGAAATAATGCCTCCTACCATGCCGACCCGCCTTTTAATTAAGATTCAGCCTGAAATGCCAACTGCATGTTGGTTACTGACTGCATGTATCCCACAGCCATGACGTATGACATGATTTAGGGTCTATATTCAGCGTGTTGTAAATGAGGCAGTTAATTTTCAGTTCTTCGGGATTTTTTGCACCTTCCTTTGCCACCTCGTGCCTGTGATTTTTTCCTCCACAACACATTTACGCTCATCACTACCTCACTCCTCATTCTTCTCTCCTCTTCTTCTCATCTTTCTTTTTGCCCCCTGTCTATAATTGGATTCTATTTTCAGGCTGCTATAAGTGTCTGTGTCTCTTGTGTTTGTGTCTCGCACCCCATTTTCTGTCTCTCCTCCATCGTCACCCTCTGCTCTTATCGCTCCCATCGCTCTTTCTGTCGCTGTGTAAAGCCACTCCTCTTATTCTGCTTTCCTTCTGTGTTGCCCACAAACTGTTTCAGTTCTGCAAAACCTTCCATTTACCTTTTTATCCTTTTATTTGTGGCAGATAAATATGATGGATAGCACACTAAAAGCCTTATGCAAAGTTGTGTTATGTGAAGTAATGCAGAGCGGAGTAAACTGCATCTAAGTGATGTGAATAGCTCTCTCATGACCTAATTCTGGTAGTCTGGGTTACACAGCGATCTGAGAGAGAGGAGGATATATTTAGTGAGCAGGGAAAAAAATATATAAAGAAGATGATACAGGGTACTGTAGAGCCCTCAAAACACAGGAATGGTATACCTTTAAGTAAGTGATGACATTTAAATAGCATGTGTCACCCTTCATGTTGATGTGACTACTGAAGCATTTTTAAGGAAGGCAATGAGCCAATTAAACAGCATTTATAAAGGGGAGGAGTGGAAAATGAGAGGCTGACAGAGGGAGGGAGTGATACTGTAGGACTTGGTTGGCTGTTGGGATGTCTCTAGAGGGGCAGCATGTATTTAAAAGACGAAAAAGACTTAGAGAGAAAAGAGGAGAAGCTATCAGAGATGGAAAAAGTTGACTGACGAGTGGAGGAAATGGGGATCTCTCATCAGACCAAAAAACCCTCATCAAGAAGGCCGGGAAGCTGCAAAGCCACGACCCACACGCCTCGACGAGGTCACGTGGCGCAGAATCGCACAACACCCGTTCGGTCAGTGCACATCCGACCACTGCCCACGCGAAATACACCCTCACGCAAACAGCACGCTCAGACCGCGCAGACACGCAAGGTGCACACACATCTGACGCAGACGCACAGGGCGAGTTCACAGTCTGCACACTGCTGCCCGACGCAGCCCTATGAGCAGTACACAGCACACAGCGATCACTCAGGGTGCACCTACTACTGCTATTTCTGCTACTGCTGTTACTGCTGCTGCCTCACGTTGCTCTCTTTCTCTCTCCTCCTCCTCCTGTCTCCTCCTCCCAACACTCCTCCCTCTGCCTCCTTCTCCACTTTGTCCTCAAATACCACTCTTCCTCCTTCCTCCTCCTCTTCCCCCTCACAACCATCAACTTCCTGTTTGGATGAACTTTCCTGTATCTATCCTGACGTCAACCTGACTTCTTCTACTGTGTCTCCCTACTGCCCTGTGCCACCTTGTCTCATCTCTGATGATTCTCTCCGTCTCTTCTACGTCTCATCTCCTGACCTCACCACCTCTGACCAACTCACCTCCTCTTGCCACGGCTCTCCTCCTACATCTACTTCTTCTTCCTCTTCCGTGCCCTCTGACTCCTTCTTCCCTCCTCATCATCCTATCCTCTGCCGGCCGTGGCCTTCTTCGCGCTCTCTTTCCTCCCTGCTCCTCTGCCCTCCCAGCTTTGGGGATCCAGTCTTATCCTATGCATCCACTTTGGAGCACATCCCCTCTGGGCCGGCCCGGCCTCGGACGCTGCTGCGCCAGCAGAGCCTTCAGCAGCCTCTCATCCACCCACCAGGCCCTGTTCTCGGCCATCCTCCCACCACATCCCAGAGCTTGGGACAATTACACACTGCACCTGGACAGCCTGGGGGAGGCGGGGGTGCTGGGAGAGGAGAGGGAGGTGGCAGCAGTGTTGAGGGTGGGGGTGCAGGTACACGAGGTGGTCCCCGGGGTGCACGGGGCAGCCCAGCAGGAGCGGGGGCCTCTCGCTATAGGGGAGGTGGAGCAGGAGGGCGCTCACGAGCCAATCCTGGCAGCTGGGATTACATGATGGACCAGATCCGGAATCGTGGCCTGGACGTCAAGTCCTTCCTGTGAGTCTCTACAACTCTTTCTTCATGTGTTTATTGTTATAGTTCCTCTGTAGTGTCACTTGCTTAGGCTTCTATCTCTATCTGTGTTTTGCATTATATGCTATGCTATGCAACTGTTTAAAGTCTTTCTTTCTTTCAATGTGTAAAGCTTAATGTCTTAGAATCACATAGTTTATAATGTATATCTATGTCTAAGCACTGACTAATCTGCTTTTACCCTTATCTTTGTGAAATACTATTCTGTGCCTTTTCTTTGGGGTGTTTTCTTTCAGTTTGCATCTGATATCCAGGGAAGGATATTACTTCTGTCCGTCAAAATATGTACTGTGTGCTTGTGTGCATACATGTATAAATGTGTATTATGTAGGTGTGTGTGGGGGGGGTTTCTTCGATATACAATTACAAATGAAATTCAGTCCATGTTATAGCTCATTATGTTAATGTTGGATGATGAAGTTGAATGCAGATGAGGAGGCCAGAGGTTGGCTTATTTGAAAAATCTATTATAAATGTAAATAAGTAGGCTATTTTAATTCTAAGCCCTGTGGTTGTGTAGGAGATGGATTGTCTCATCTTATCAAGACGTCATAGATCACAAACTGATATTAACAATTATAGATTATATTTATTAGATTTTATTCTTCGGGAGAAGTACATATGGTTACTTGATATATTTTATGATTCTTTAAAATCTCAACTCAAACCGAGTATCTAATTAATTAATACATCACAAGCAATTATAGCTTTCGACATTTGTTCATATGAATGCACAGTGTGTGTCAGTGATCAGCTGACGATAATTAAACCTTCTTATTGAGCAGTCTGTTAAAAGATGCATTTTCCCTAATTTTAGAACAAATGACATCATGTGCATGAAAAATGGCAAGGAAGGTGCGACATATTGTGGAGCTATTTCTATCCCATTCTGTGATAAATTGTTCAATGTTTACACTGTATGCTCTGCTAAACAGTAACATCTGTTTGGATGGCATTCAGCCTGTCTGCTGCAATTGTCTTAACAGGACAGAGCTAGTGGTGCTAGTTCATAATATTCATGAGACAGTGTCATAAAAAGTCACAATATATTTCATATTCACACCGTCCCACTCAATTACATGATGTTATGTCTGAGCCATCCTTTGGAATGACTGTTAAATATCCTTCTTAGGAGACACACCAGTAGGCCTAATCCGTGTTTCATGAGTAATTTGTAACTAAAATGGCACCTCTTTTTCGTCGGTTTTACTGTAACTTTTATGCTTATAGTAAATCTGCGTTTGCTGGTTGTGGCACTAGTCTGCTGACATGTGTGTCAGCATGTGTACATCACACAGCCCACGTGTCACTGTGCATTAGTATAAGAACCAGGGTTAAGCAGCTGTGTGTAGATTTGTGTTAACCCTGAAGCATTGATCTTATGTCACCAGCACCATTACTTCCACGACATATCGTTACTTCAGGCCAGAACTAGGGTGAGGGCGGTGGGGGTGATGAGATAGAGGGATAGAGGGGTGATGAAGGGATGAGGAAGGACACTGTCAAGGTACAATGTGTTTAATGTCCCTTTGCTCTGAATCCATTTCTACAGTACTTTTTACCATTGGTTTATTTAGACCTTTAATTTGTATTAATTTCTGAAAGGCTTGGTACGTGGCATGTATGTTATTGTTTCCAGAATAAAGTAACACATTTTATATATAATACAAAGGCAGATTTTAGTACATAAATCCAGAAAAGGTAACTTGCAGGAATACGTAGTCACAGAGCAGACTGATATCTATTTAGACCTATCTTCCATTTTAATGTGAGCCCAGAACTGGTCCCAGGGAGACACCCCTTCATCCTGATCACCACTTATTCAACTAAACTATTTCCGCCATTGCATTAACCCATTCTTTAAGTTCTGTAGCCTTTGTTTACTTCAAGTGTCTTAAAATAACTCGACAAATATACCCAATACCACAATAATAGAAGAATATGCAGCCTTGGATAGGTTTGGTATTAGGGACTGGTCCACCAGTAAACACAACTCTGGATTTGAGGGATTTCTCAACCAACTACTTGACATTGCTAACACCTGGATCCAATGTGGTCTGACTAAACTACATTCCCATTTATTCCCAAATACATATTTCAGTTCTACATTTCCAACACAAATTGTTGTTCAGTAGCTTCATTCTGTGGAGTTTTGAGACTGTGTGTTAGTGTCTTTGCAGTATCCTATTGTATTATATTGTATTATATTGTGTGAGCTTTCCCCTCGTCTCTTTCACATATTGCCAACATTCGGCCATCATTTCAGACTATTTATTGTATTCATTTTCTACTCCAAGGTCTCTCTGCCACATTCGCCATATTGTCACAGGCTCATTACTCAAGAAGGAGTAAGTTGTTTCATAAAATTGTGAGGCTTTGTGGTTTTCCCATGGTAATTCTAGATATTTTATAATTGTGTTATCGGCCACATTATAAGACATAATACATAATTCTTATCTGCAAACACCTAAGAGTCACTCTACTACATTATTTTATGACACCATCTTCAAATAAATCGGCCAATACACAGTATCTGTGCCACATTGATCACACATCTTTGTACTTTATGTGTAAGTTTTAATTTTTTATGAATTCTGGTCCAGATATTTCTCGAGTGTAAAAGAGTTTGTAATTTTACGAGCAGTTTGTATATTTTATGTGTGCTGAAACTTGAGAATGACACAGTTGAAGGAATGCCACTGGCTAACTGAGCATTAGCGATGTAGCACATGCCACCGCCAAGGTTATTGAGAATATCGCCCATAACAGTCAACTAGCACTCATCATTTTGATGTGAGATTGAGGTCATTGTTGTATTTCCTTCTCTGCAACAGCAACACCTCATGTGATTGATGACAAAGCGGTCCAGTAATAGACATGACCCATTGTTTCAATCTTGGCGAGATTCCCTATCTGGGTGAATCATTGCTCAATGAATGTGTTGATGTGATTGACACACATATATTTAGCCTTTCGAGGCGTTTGACCAAATGGATCTCTTGGGTGATTGGTCTTCATACTTTTTAAAAATCAATAATTTTTCCTAGTGTCACTAATGGCTGTTCCCTCTCTCGCCTGTGCTTCCTTAATGTTTGGTGCATTTATTTAAGTGTTTTACCAATATTCTTGAGTGTAAATGCTCATACTTAAAACTTACTGTGCTTATAGTATCTGTACAAGCACCACACCATTATATCATTATTGACCTTCGAGTCCCAACCACTGCAGTTGCAGTGGATATGTGGAAAGATTGCAGAGTAGCTCAGTTAATGAATACATTATTAATTGATGTGATTTGATTAAGAATAAATTCCACATATTGAGTCAGCTGTAACAAATGTGTTGGAAAATGAGAGTGTGTGAAAACTAGTCAGCAAGCAAGCAGAGTTGAAGATGAATAAGTTGGTTGAACTAAAAGTAAAAGTTTTAGTTAAATAGTTAGTTATGTATAAATTGTTGAAATTGTTTGCTAACAGTAATAGAAAAAAGGTTGAAATAAAGAGCTTAAAGCGATGGATAAATCTTTGAACTTGAGATAGATAAATTGGTTTAAGCCTTCTTAGAAGAAATAAATAATTGAAATAGCTTGCTAACAGTACAGCTAATGGTTAAAAGGTTGAAATAGATAGCTAAAAGTAAAGAATGAATAAATAATATAGATAAAACTACTTCAAATTAACACATTTATAAGGTGGTGTCAATTGAGGGGTACTCAAGATAATCTGGTTGTGGGGGTAAGTCAACATAAAAGGTTGGGAACCACTAACTGGGAGATTATTAAACAAGGCTTTATGGTGCTGCAAGAAAAGCTTTTAGCAGCCTGTAAGAAAGATGAAATTGTGAAGTTTAGGGTGATATCTTTCCACAGCTTGGCAGCACCATACTTTCTTAGCGGAGGTATTGTAACGCCGTCAGGGGCTTAAGCTATAGAACCGGGGGTGTGGGTGACAGGAAGGAGGCAGTGATGAGGAGGCAGAGAATTAAGAGTAGGGGAAAGGGATGAAGGGGAAAGGGGATTTGGAGAGCAAGTGTAGCAGAATAGAGAAGATGAAATGAGAAGAGTGCAACATGGAGAGTGAGAGAGCAGTGACCCAGAAAACGGTGACACGCACCGAGCACCTCAAGACACTATGTCACTCAAATAGAAACAATTAGTCCAGATTTTCTTAATGAGGCTTAATTAAATCTTAACTCTGGAGAAAGGCGACCGACGTGTTCGTTGGGAAAGGTGAATCTAGAGGGAAAGCAGAAGGCAGCTTGAATAACTAGATAAATTACTGGGCATGAGAGTGGTGTAGTTTTGTGTGTGTGTGTGTGTGTGTGTGTGTGTGTGTGTGTGTGTGTGTGTGTGTGTGTGTGTGTGTGTGCATACAGGCCTGTACATACCTTTTACATGTGTGGAAGCTGATGTGCAAGCTGCTGAATATCACATCCATTAACAATAATTAACTAATCATCAGCACTTCCTTTAATTATATGTTGTCTGTATGATGTGAACACAGCCTGCACCACTTCATTAAAATCATTACATTATTATTAATCTGGCCTTTCAGGTTAAGGTATCTTCTTAATATCCTTCCCTGGACAAAGTGCTCACGGCTGGGATGTTATGTGATGTTGCAGATTTACCCTTTATGACCGTTTTCTCTGTTACTGCTTCCTCTGTTTACTCTCATACGGTCTCTTATTGTTCCGTCGCCTCTCTGCTGTCTGTCCTCACTGTCACCTGAAATGACCTCTCCTTTCTTCTCTCCCCCTGCACCACACCTTCTTTATGTCCGATTTCCCTATCCTTTGCATCTGTTCTCTTTTCTCGCCTATCTTTCTATTTCTGTTCCTGTCTCTTATCGTATTTTTTTTAAACGGGGGAGCCAGTGAAGGGAAGATGGTCGTCATGGCTTTGGCCATTGGTGTGGCCGAGCAAGATGACTTTGCCAATATCCCTGACCTGCAGGAAACAGCGCAGGCAGCACCAGCAGCCAATCAGGAGCCCCCTCCTGAGAAGAGGTACCAGATAATGTATGAGAGTGCTTGTTGTATGTGAGAGAATGGAGTGCAAATGAAAGGACTTGAAGGATATGATTTTGAAAAAAAACCAGGAGATGATATCAGAATCTAGGTAGAGGAGACTAGTTTTGTTTTCTAGTGTTTTCGGTGAGTCACTGCACTTAAGTGCATTGTGCCTCAGACCTGCACCTGAAATAGCACCAGAGCTCGACACTGTTACAGAAATAAAAATGAGAGCTGACTATGAAACCAAATGTAGGGAAAAGAATGCCTGTAATGCCGAGATGAGTAAAGAGATAAAGCAATTTGGATGTTAGCTGTAAAGCAGTAATGAGCTCATAAATCACAGCAGTGTGACGCTCACTGTACTCTAGTCCTTTTCTTCTACTTTTAAAATTCTGGCAAATCACAAAAAACAGTGTTTTCTAATGCCAGTGGTCTTTTTTTTTTTCTGACCATGGTAATTATCTCCCCTATCGCAATGACATTCTCCTCCACCATTTTCATCTCTATTTGTTTGTCTATTCACTTCTGCCTAACAGAGACCTCCCATTGGTAATTGTCGTATTTCCTTTGTATTTCCATGCTTTTATTATCCCAGTCCTTTCTACTCCTGTGTTCTTTTTTTTCCTCCTGCTCATTAGCTTCCTTCAATCACCCTCTGCCGCTCTGAGAGTCCCGTCTCTGTAGCTCCACCGAGGGCCCAGAGAGCCTCCTCATTATTCCACAACATGGTAGTCACTTACATAAACATGCTGCTAAAAATAAACCTTTTCCTTGCCAGCCACCTTACACACTGGAAGCCAAAATATTTCCAGTCATCTATAAGGATGCATCAGGCTCGCTCAAATCTCACTGTCTCCCAAAATAATTAGTTTTTGGGATCTGGATAATTTTTTCATTTTAACAGTTTAAGTCTAACAAATGAGTTCAGCATCATGTGAAACAAACATCTCAAACCACACTCTGCTCGTGTTGTTCATTTTCGGCCATGGATGGTGGTTCTGATTATTTGTGCCAGCATGTAACACCACAGAGCCAGAGGGACATCCTGCGTTTGGTCCAGCCTTAGGCAGATGCGACACACTCGATTTCCTCTGCAGTCCAATTAGGTCGTTTTAACCTCACTTTGATTCTGTGACAAATTGGAGACAATTTGGAGATACATAATATGACGCACACCTTAAAACAAAATGGCAGGGGAGGGTGAACAAATTCTGATTTACTCGTCACACCAATTATTCCTCATTCACAAGTGTTTCATCAGTTTGACACATGATTTAAAACTATAGGGCTCTATTACAATACAGATGGTAACTGTTTTCTTATCGAGACTGCACAGCTGCAGTATGAAGCTGCACATGTGGGCTGCGCAACTGGAGACGTTTAGAGGGTCTCGTGTGTCTTCAGCATGATAGCAGTTGTCCTCCCGGAACTAATAAGCACCTTTATTTATAATGAAATTTAACTTTAGAGCTATGCCACATCAGTGACTAGTAAGAGATGTTTGTCTCTTGGTTTGTCTGCCTCATCCTAGTCTCTTGCCCCTGAGCATCCTGTGGCCTTTTCCCTAAAGTCAACACAGCACTGCATGGACTTACAAATGAGGATGAAAGTATTCTTTGACTAAGAATGTTGTTTTTGTAAACATCAAAACTATCTCTATTGTTCAGGATTAGTGTGAAAGCTGCAGAGCCACAGAGGAGTACAATTTTCTGTGTAATTTGGTGTGCACATTACATCTGGCTTTTCCAGCTTTTGTGTTCACCTGGAAACCTCCTTAAATGGGTTGTAAAATCCACTAATAGACTAAACAGCAAGCAGGAACCACATGCCGCTTAGTCCAACACATAGCCAGCACGACTCACCTCGATTAACGATGATTGAGTGCATTGTGGTATTTTCTAGATTAACCTGAGGTTCATTTAATATCTTTCAGTCAAAACAGAATGACTGGCAGCTTCTGGTCTGTGAACATAGAGAACTAGGAAGTAAAAAACAGTCTTGGTCTTTTTCGTGAGCTCCTGTGTGCCCCTCCCCTGAGCTGTAAACTAATTCTACTTGAGCCACTTGTTGTTTTCTTTGTTTCATGATAGATTATAAATTCAAAAGTATAATGAATGATTTAGCCACACTTTAATTGTATGCTAAATTTAGACGCTCAAATAAACATTATAAGTCCACAGTGTATTAGAAATGCAAGGTGTAAGCCTTGCTGGGAGTATATCATTCCCTGTGGTGTTAGTGCTGACTTCACAGATGTCTGACCATGATTTAATCAATCACACTCTTGGCATATTGCTCATTCTAAACGGGGCTCTCGAGCCTGCCTGGAGCTGGAGACAAAGCCGTGCTTTCATTCGTCTCTCACTCTCCACACCCCTTCTATGGCCGTATCATCGCAGTCTGTGCATTTGCATCAAACATTTCTTTCATGTGCCCATTACTCATCTCCCTACTTGCATTACTTATGTTATATCCCATGAATTTATTAAACTAATGTGATCGTCTCGACAACATGTCACTGACCAATTGTTGCAGACAAACATAAAGCCTTTTAAATTATTGTGAATCATTAATGTGACTCTCGTCACAAACGTTAACATCATCAATATAAAAGTGAAATCTCTGGAGTTTAATCTCTCGTGATTAAAATCAAAGAGCTGCTCTGCACAACTGATATGTTTATATTAACTTCTAAAATATAATTCATAGTACAAGATTAAAGCAGTGGTTTTCAGCCTCTTTTGCTTGTGACCTCCTAAACAAAATCTGTGTCTATTAGAGACCCTTGTCACGTTTCAGATGTCCATGAGTTCCACCAAAAAATTTCCCTGATAAACTTCTCAAATTGCTTTATTTAAATAAGTATTGGAGGCACAAAAAAACAAGGATTAGAGAAAAGACAAAAAAGATGAATAAAAAAAGCAGTTTCTGTTTAATAATATTAATATTATTAATATTCTCACAGTTATTGTGTGACCCTATGGAGGGGCCCGATCCCTATGTTGACAACCACTGGACTAAACCATCACACAGTATAGGTACCTAAAACAAGCTCCATCTTAACCAGCTACCACAGTAAAGTGCTGCTTACACAATGAAACATCAGAATTACCAATCTACTAATGTCATATTACTTACTTTGATGCTCTAGGTACATTTTTACTTCTGTCCCAGTTTATGTGTCAAAGTAACTAATGTAGACAACAGACCACGAAATGGGCTACAATTGCGCACAATACATCCAATAACAATGTTTGTTTTCGCCACTGACCAACTCAGATTGTTATGTGAGTACCTGTCTGACAACACAACCCTACAGATAAATGAAATGTTTCGCTTGATTCACTGTGTGTCTAACCAAGTCTCGCTCAAGGAGAAGTCTCATTCTGAAATCTGAGTTGAGGTGACTTGTTGCAGGAAGACAACAGTGGAAACGTCAGGTTGAATGAACTTGTTTTAGTTATTCACACAGAGAAACTGCAATCTAATAATTCACACGCCTGTTGCCCCCTCTCTCTCTCTCCTCATCCACTCTGCAGTTTGTAGTCTTTATCTGTATACTGTATACTGTATACAAATATATACAGCCATGACATTAAAGTGTAACTACACCCTTCAATTCTGCAAGCTCCTTCCCTCTCAGCACATTTCATAAATGCATTAGAGACCTGCAAAGGACAGTGACTTTAGGGGGTGTGGCCTCGACACTCAGAGTGATTGACAGACGAGGATCAAGGTAAACACTGCAGTCTGTTGGTGCTTCTACAGCCAAATAGTCCAAACCACTGTGCCAAAATAGAAAAATACTAAGCAATGTTGGCATGTTGAGTCATTTTTAACCCACAAAATGCAGATTTTTATAAATTCTGTAATAATGTAATTTTAACACCGGTGTTGATTTGTTTAATCACAGTATAGTGACATAAAGTTCAGTTTACAGCTCAAAAGTAGCTCTAAAAAACCTCTAAAAATACTTTTACAACACTAAACCATGTTTTCTATATATAACAAACTCTGCCTCACCGGCATTACTATGCTCACGTGTGCTGTATCTCATCTTTTTTTTAATATTATTTTATTGATGTATTTTCATATCATACAAACCCCAAATAGATCTGTGCCTAAGGCCCAACCTGCACACATGCACACACACACAGCCAGGGGAAGGGATCCCAGTAACACAGCAAGAGCTCATCCCAACCACGTGTCCACATATCAGCACATATCATCCATGTGAAATCATCAACTGCAAACCATGAATAGTAGTATGCAGGAACAAAACACAACAAAAAAATAAATATATATATAATATATAAACCCCAAGATTCTTTACATTAATGTTGACATTTTCATTTATTATATCACTGTTTCAGTCAGTGGCAAAAACAAACATGTTTAATCAATGTATTTTGACGTTGCGCCATTGCCGATAAGGATTATGTTGTAGCCCGTTTTGTGGCTGCACTCTCACGAATTTCCAAATTTGCCCTATTACTCACTCTGACTCAAAAAATGGGAAAATAAAGTCCAGGTTGAAAAATGCCAATGTTAACCTTTAAATAGGAGTATTAATACAGGAATTTGACTTATATGGGAGTATTTTTACATTGTTGTATTGCAAGTTTTACTTAATTAAAAGACCTGGCTGCTTATTCCAGCACTGGAAACAACAATACTCCTGGTCTTGCACTACAATTAGCTAAATAATCTTGTTAATGGGAGCATGTATGTAAAGTACTTGGCAAATAACAACCAAGAGGTTTTTCATCTACCCTTCAGCAGCGTGTTAACGCCTCATTGTTGCTTGGCCATGGTCAAAGGCAAGCCAAACAAATACACTGTTATCCCCACCGGCCATGAGAAGGTGTTATAGTGCGTGACATTCATTATGCTCCTTCACTGACCTTGTACGTGCGATCACTGGATGAAGTGTTCTGCGTGGCCATTTGTTTATGAAGTGAGCCAGGAGCTGACTGACAGTTCGAACTGCACCA